GACAGCGTTGGGTGGTGTGAGGCCCTTGAGAGAAAGGTAAGCGACAGTGGCGCTGGCTGTAAAAGCCGAAAATAGCATGAAGATCGGAAAGCAAGGGGTGTGGTCCTTCTCGGAACCTGCCTCGACAGCGGTGAGTAGAGAGATCGTGCCGTGGCAGGAAGTAAAGAGCCGATCAATGATATCGTGACATCGAGCGTTGAGGCGGAATGACTCTAGGTTGAAGTTGACTGAAGTAACTTCCTGCAACAGCCGCCTTCGATGGACAAAGATCGTTGCGCAATGTAGGAGGCAGTGAAGCATGGCAAAGGTGTAGCCAGAGCCCATCGTCATATGTAGGTTGATCTGGCCCGGCTTGTCCACGAACTGCATGGGCAAAGAAGCTCGGAGACCCTCGATCTTGGCAATTAAATCGCCACAGTCCTCTTCGCGGAAACTCGCGAGGGTAGTAGTGGTAAGCATTCCAACAACGTCACGCCAGATTGTCGAAGCCAAGACTATGTAACCAAACTCTCCAATCTCAGATGGTGGTTGGCCAGGTGGAACCGCAGTAGGATCAAGCTGCTGTCGTAGGGTCTTGACAAAGACAGCGTTGCCAAATGCAAAGTTGATGTCGGAGCAAGGCAAAGGCACATCTGCGGTGTCGAGAGGAGACAGTGCTGCAAAACGTCCCGGTGTGCTAGTTAGAAGGCAATCCAAGATGTAAATAAGCCAAACAGTACGCCGAAGAGATTCATCTCGCAAAAACATATCGCCATCGGGGGACGCATGATGGCTGTTCAAGATGCGATACATCTGAACCATGCGTGCCGCTTGCCCCAAGTAAATGTATGCACGAACGGCATTTCGCGAGCCCCATTCGTGGATAATGATCAAGCACAGAGCCTGAATGTCGACGAGATTAGGATGGTCCAAGTTTTGATTGATGAGGGTCATAGCCTTGGCAGCAAATGTCTCTGCAGCTTGAGTAGGGCCTCCATATCGGCGGATCAGACTCGGAGAACTCCTGCAGATAGCATCATGTTAGCAGTGGGGACTTGGCATGAAAATGACGTCTAGATCAGTGACTCTAGGCATTTCCGCCATCGTAATGAAGGCAAAACAGGCTGTGATTCGGGATGCCTCGGCTCAAATCCGGTCTCCGGCGTGTCGAAGCTCAAACCGGTGCGACCGTCACCGGTCGGTGGATCCGCATACCGGGGAATGAGCGTGTGAGGGATAATTTGACATAAGGTAACGACAAAGCAAGAGCAACGTACCGGGCGGCACAAGTCAAAAGACCGTAGACCAAAGCAGCATCCAAGGACGCGCTCTTCAGCTGTTGTACAAAAGAGGGCTTGTGAAACGCAACACAGGCCGGAAATGTTTTCGATACAACACGTTCACACTCAGCGATCAGCTCGGGGGTGAGCCTATGAGCTACAGTTAGCAAAACCGAAGGAAACAGAGACTGCGAATGGGGTCTAGGGGGTGGCACGGCCCGTCTCAACCTCGAAGGCCTGCACTTCAATGACCCAAAGATCCAGAAAAGCTCCGGCGTGCTTCGTTGAGAGTTGGATTCAAGACTTCAGTAACCAAACGAACAACGAAATATTGACAAATCAGAAACCGACTCATCAAGTCTCGAAGATACAGGTCTGGAGTTTCACAGAAGACTCTGATGAGAATTCGGGGTCTCCCCGTAAGCCGACGGCGATAAAGTGGGTCGCGCGATCGGGGGGAGCAACCAAAGAAGCGCGGGCGCGGGTGTGGGAATGAGAAATGGGGTACAGGGCAGGGATACGGGGGCCGGGTAAGGGGCTGATGGAGGCATGTCGAGTGGGCGGCCACTCGGGCAAGAAGACGAAGCATCCTGGGGGTGCCAAAGTCTTATGATGAGACGAGACAGGGAAGCGAGGCGAAGATGACTCGTCTGCCGATCCGCCCGGGGTTAAGAAGAGCAGCTTGACAAGACAACTGGAAGATGCCGCACTTGTCGGGGCTGTTATGCTGACGCGCGACAGTGAGGGCTGTGATAAGATCCGAGTGTGGGGAAATAGGATGTCGGAGAATAGCAACGACACAAGAGATAGGACAGAAACAATAGACAACAATGAGAAATGGACGACTTACTTATCAGAGCCTGTTTGAACATGACGAGCAGCACTGGAGCCTACCACGGGCTGTCGCGCTTCAGCAACAACGCCAGGTCCTGCAGCAGGAAGACTGTCGCGAGGTGGCCGGTGAGGATTGGCGTGTCGCGCCGGGCTTTGGCCGTGGTGATGGGCCATACTCTCTGAAGGCAGATAGCAGTCATGCATTCCCTTTGCGCAGTTCTTGCATGGTGCTCTACCATTCTCATAGACGCATTTTGTCTTGCCCTTGCGACAACGCACGCAAGCACCGCCAGCCCTGAGGGCGGTAGAGCGGACAACGCCAGACGACATGCTAGGCGACGGCAGACTATTGGAACTGTGAGTCTGAGGAACGTTTGATCGCTGTAAGGGTATTGGTAAGTAAATGCTGCTGAGGATGATGAAAAGGCAGCGAAAACGGTTGATGGAAGGAAGAAATTCTCGGGGTGGGCTCCGTGTGAAAATAACGGCAGAGGACCGGAGGGCCCCGTGTGAGGAAGGAGGAGGCAAGCGAGGCCGAACGGAAGGCACGCGCGAATTTGGGGGGTTTTCGGGCGGCTGAATAAGGCGGGAGCTACTACCACGACTCCCACATAGAAAATGGGGAAAATCGAAGAGGAGCAAGACAAAAAAGAAAGGTATGTTGCTGCAGCGAGTTCAACAGAAGGAATAGCTTACGCACTTGTGAGGAAAGTTGGTAGGCGAAAACAACCGAAATAGCGACGCCGTGCGATCGGATGAAGGAGATGACCCAAGCCCGGAGCGATCAAATTGGGTCGGAGAGCCTCTACCTAAGTCCGGCTGTCCAGGCAATTCGCAAACAATGTCCAGACAACAGCAGAAAAATGGGAAGAGCAGTCTCAGACTGCTTTGAACAGTGGAAACAAGATCTTTCACAAAAAATATCGCGTGTCTGGGGCAAGATGGGAGGAAGTGGAAATGAAGAGGAGAAGGGGCGGAGGAAGCGGAGGTGACTGGCAAGGCAAAAGTACGAGAGGGCGACAAAGCGGACAGAACAGCCTGAAGACAAAGGCAGGAACATCATCAACAAAAGAGGCAGAAGAAACGGGGGACGGAGAACGGGAAACGGAGGAGAGCCACGGGGGTGTGTGGGTCGTAAACCGACAGGGCAAAGGTTGAAAGAAAGCCACACCCGAATGTTACAGGCCTTTCCATCACTGAGGACAGAGCGATAAATCAACTGAGCTCTATCCGAAAGACAAGAATAATCCATAGATCTGCGTCATACATTACAGCATCTATATATCGACCCTATGCCTGGGGAACCTTGAAGCTGAACAAAACATCGCCATTTCAACAGGTATCATTCAAGGTGCAGCTATTTTATTGTAACCCCCCCATGGAAATGAAGCTTGGAAATCATGCTCGGCCGCTGCCCGCACCGCAAACCAAACTCAGCGCCACGGCCTCTCGGCATCGGGTTTTCAAGGGGGCCGTAGTGCCATCGCCGTGCAATTACTGTAATGACTGAGAAGTCTAATTGGGTATATAAATAGAGGCGCAAGGCATCAGGTAAACGATGGAAAGGATCCGTGAGTATATAGCAGGTGGCTATCTCAAGCCTTCACATTCTCTTCTTCTTGACAAAGATGGTCTGGTCATAACATCTCATCCAGCTTCCGGGCTCCATACGCCGGCGTTTAAAACGGTAGCGGGGCCACCTACGGAGTCTACAGCAGCCTGATGGATCGAAACAAAGGAACAAGCAAGCAACCAAAACGTGGGCGCAAATAAGGTATTCAAATCGCGGCCAGGAACAAGATACGTACCTGCTGTAGGCGCATGTCACACCGTCCTGCGCAGGTCGACGCATGCAATTGTCGCGAGGTTTCATCACAGTCGCTACGATCTGACTATCCCCAGAATCCCCAGGACTGCTCACAATGGGCCTCTCATTTGACGGACAGCTTGGTTGATGTAACCGCGGTGGCATCAGCGGCAGCATCGTCTGCAGGGCAGAGATGGGTCGTTTTTCGGTTGTTTTGGCGACGCGCCCCGAGCATCGGTATATCCGGGGTGTCGGTAACGTCGGAGTCTATCCAGCATTGATTAAGCTTCATGTCCCTCCGATCATCACACATTGACTTTGGTATAAACAGAAGACGTGAGTTCATTAAAAAGCACGGTTATTTTGTCGCCCCAACTCCAACCTTGTGAAACCCGTAAAAGCTGGTGGCGATGCCGATTTCATTCACGCCGTCACCGGGGCCTAGTGGTTTTCATTTCCCCTTCCCGCAGGCCGAACCGCCCGAGGTTTTCCCCTGATATTTACCATTCACCGCCGATGTTGTTCCCCCGGACACTCACACAGTGCACACAAATTTAATGTCAGAATTGGCGGGTGGAGTGTTCGGCAGTCTCATGGGCTTGTGCATCACTTTGCCCTCCGAGTCTGGGACCAGACCTTTTAATATCCAGTTCACCTCTCAAAGAATACTTGTTGGTGCTTAAAATACTGGCCGGTCGATTATCATTCCGAAGTGCGAAAGAGATCTCTTTGTTTTCTCTAGGTAGGACAAGCAGACGCCTTGCTACGTCGCTGTCCTCAATATCGAAAGTACATGTGAAGCTCAGCCATTTTGGTGTTACCGCAAAACACGAGCTATTCTGCTGCAGCATTACACATAAATAATATCACCAAATGGCTTCAATAGCCGCCGCCATGCCGTCCATGGCCTATTCCTTAGCCCTCAGTCGTGGTGACCACCAAGGCTAGAGCTTTGGAGCCTCAACATCCGCGGTTGTATCTTTATGGCATTCACTCAACCTTTTCCCATATATCACTCGCTTTTGTATATATACAGATAATGGCGACGATGTCTTATTTGTGCACTCTGCAGCCCTTTATTGGTTCAGGGCCGGCAAATAATGATCCGAGCCAGACCTAGGGTTATCAGTACCCTCCACTCTCTTCCCCTCCTTGTGGCAGCCTGCTTTGTCGGTGCGTGAAGGGAGCAATAAGAAGATCATGTTTTCCTCCAGGACAGCCCTATTTTCATCATCACACACGGGCCTCTGGATAAGTGGTCAGAATCACCTTATCCCTCGTACTTGACATGTCCTGTGGCACTTCCGGATCGCAATGGACGTGGCCGGACATGGGTCCAGGTATTGTCGGGACTGTTACCTCCACTCCGTCCGGCGGCGCCAGCTCTCGAGTCTCCAATGCGTCCACAGGACAAAACGGTTGCGTTTTCAGAGCGACGTTTGGGTATTTTCTACGTTCACCCTCTCACAGAGACATGCGGCACCCACCCTCCGTGCCCCGGCCGACAATTTCGCCCATTCGCAGGCGCCTCCTCCCCTGGTGATGAAAAGGAGGCGTCTCCGGCAGAAGCATTACGGTGGGGCCGTTTCCGAGTACAGCACAGTACTGATATGATGCGGCCGCACCGTACCGTGACTATCACCGCCACCAAGTTCGGATGGAATGAATTCCTACGCGCCCAGTAACAAATTCCTTTGCCTGCGCCCTATACAGTATATATGAGGATGTCTTATCTTGCTTCGCAGTAAAATCATAGAGCTCTGGACACTCAATCGCGGATGCACGAGGCCGGCAGATTAAATGCCAAAACGGTACCCACCTCCGTCTTGATCACGGAGAGGATCGGTGTCTTTTTGACAGGGGGCGGGGAAAGGGCTCAACGATCCGTGAGCTAACGCTTCAGGCCGAACTTGTTCAGTGCCGCGGAATTTCGGAGATATCCTCTTCCGACCCGAATCCAAGCTCTCATCGAATGCTTATTTACAGACGAATGCATCATTGAACAAACAGATATTCGCCCGCTTGTTAAGCTGACCAGCTATCTTGTTGATGATTTTTGTTGGTTTCTACTGAAATTCCCATCATACGCTGTATCATCGAAAATAGAACACATTTTCTTCCTCTATAACATCTCATTTCACCTTGACAGAATGCATTCATTTAAGCCTTGGTCTCACGAACAGGAAGGTTCTTCTCCTTCTTGCCGCCCTCCTTCTTTTCAGTCTTTTCTGCTTCTTTGGGGGTCTCCTTGATGAAAGGCAAAAACTCAGGCTCGCCAGGAATATACTTTCGCAGGACCTCGGGCACAACGAGACCTTCCTCCGTTTGGTAGTTCTCAAGAATGCAGCACAATGTTCGTTCAGTAGCACACAGAGTCTGTAAAGACGGATTAGCGATATGACCTCAACAAGCGCGGGGATCATCCCAACTTACAGCGTTCAGAGCATGGACATACTCCTTCTTTCCACCGCCAACGATCTGCTTGCCCTTCTTGGAACCGTGACGAATCTCGAGCTCTCTGGTCTGGTAGTCTGTGCAGTTGGAGCAAGAAACAAGCTCCTTGTATTCCTTCTGGAAGGGGAACCATGCCTCCAAGTCGTACTTCTTGGCAGCAGCATTGTTCAAAGCACCTGTGACGATACCCACAACCTGGTAAGGGAGGCCAAGGGACTTGTAAAACTCCTCAGAGTTGGCCATCATTTGGTCAAACTGGTCCCAGCTGTCATCGGGGCCACAGAGGACGAACTGCTCAACCTTCTCGAACTGATGCACGCGGAACACGCCCCAGGCATCACGACCGTGGCTACCGGCCTCCTTTCGGAAGCAAGTGCTGTAGCCGCAGTACTTAATAGGGAGCTCAGAGGGCTGGATCCACTCCTCGGCATGAAGGGCGGAAAGAGGCTGCTCGCTGGTGGCAATGAGATATCGATCCGACTCGGAAGGTGTAGGTCCTTCGGAAACACGGTAAAGCTCCTCGTCAAACTGAGAGAGCTGTGCTGTCTTGGCCATCTGGTCGCGATTGAGCATGAAGGGTGGTTGGTTAGGGGTGTAGCCTGCAGCACAGAATTCGTTAACGATGCATGATATAATATTGGTTTAAGTATACATACCCTTGTTGAAGAGGAAGGCTGTGGCATAGTTGACGAGTGCAAGGTTCCTGTCATTGTCAGACATCGTTGTCGCCCTTCATGCCCTTCTGACTTACAGGAACATGCCGTAGCCAGTCAAGCAGTAACCTCGGTGGCCGACCAACTTGACGCCTCGAACAGGGTCGTATCCGCCAAGTCGCAGCAGCACATCGTGGTGAGAAAGAGCAGCTTGCTTGGTCTTATCGAAAGCCTCAGGCTCCCAGGTTCGCTCGATTGTGTTGTTGTCCTCGTTGTCGCTGACGTGGACCGAGTCGTGCACGTAGTTTCCGACGAGCTTTGCCTTGACTTTGAGTTCGGCATTCTTTGCCGCGGCAAGCTCCTCTTGGATCTTCTTCTTCTCTGTCAACTCCTCCTTCTGCTTAAGTAGCTCGGTCGCGTCCTCTTTGGCTCGTTTCTTGAGGCCAATCTCCTTTTGAACGCCGTTTATTTGTGTGCCGATCTGTGTAACTCCATACTGAGCTTCCAAGATGTTAGCTGGTTCAAAGAGATCATTAAAACTGTGTAGATATCCGATGACTCACTCTTGCGCGCGTCTTGCCAAAGGGCAATAACCTCATCAACCAGCTCTACAGGAGCATGTCGGCGACGCTGACTCTCTCGAATCTTCTCAGGGTTTCCGCCGCGCTCCTCGATGAAATCCTCAATGTCCAACATCTTGGCGATTCGCGATGGTACGATATTCGTTCAATCTGGTTGAGCCTAATGGTGGATTTTTTATCGGTGTTGATAACCTAGGAAGGAGGGGGAGGGGCAACTGCTTCGATCACCTGACTTGGATGGAGGGGTCTTTCTTCTCGAAATTGGGTACCTTAGGTAGTGGATCAAAGCAAGTGAATCAAGAGGCAGTGGAGAATGTTTAAGTATTGCTGTAGGATAGGAGATGACTATAGCAAATCTCAAGCTACCTGGGGTATTTATTGTCAAATAATGTTTCCTCCCTTTGGAAGTGAGTCACGTTAAGGTCTTACTCCGTGGGTTAAGGACGCCGGGTGAGCAATTGAGTGTTGCTGTAAGTATATGAGCCAATCACATATTCGATCCAAGACCTATTTCCCTTTTACAGGGTAGACTGTATTTGTAGCGATAATGGCTTTGAAGTCATCATTTGTAAAAGCGAATTAATGGCATCAGGTGCTTAGGCTTCAGTCTACTTGTTGACCCTATAAAGAATAAAATAAGCATGGATTAGTAAAATTAATGGTCTTCTCTCCTTGCGATATGATAGAGGATTTGAGTCAAAAAGCGGCGAGCAACCATTTATTCGGTTTAGGAAACCTGAACCAACTGCAATTACAAACATAGTCTTCTCAATTATCGGTTATCTCAGTGCATCTTATCAAGAGCCCCCAAAGTTGAGAATTAATTGAAAATCATTAGATAGGCTTGGAATTTATGGCGCTACAGCCCTTACTATTGGTTCATCACTCCAATGGACAGCAACACCCTCCCCCAGTTTCTGAGTTACCATTTCGAGGCGGAATTTAAAATCAATGATATGAATCATGGAAAGTTCGTCTTCTCTTTTTCGTCTTAAGCTGAGCCAACATGTCGAAGCAACACATATTGGCACTTGAGTTAGGGATGCTACTGTGTAACTTGCAAGGGTCAACAGGACCCATGCATCGCCTCTGGGAGCCTCCATCATTGGATGAGGCTGAGCCTTGCTGACGGCCCCCAAACCCGCACTTTCGATTAAAGCTCATAAGCCAGCCGTGCTCAATATTGTTTAGATTCCAGGCTGTCCTGCCTGACTACAAATTCCTGCTTTGCTCGTCGTCAAAATGAGACTTGGCCGTCGCCGAGAGGAAAGTCTCTCATCGTCCGACGATACTACGGTAAGCTAAAGGAGATGACGCTACAAGCCCCGCGCATAGACGACCGCTGACCATTCGTGATTAAAGATAACGGATCAGGATGATGAGCCACATAATGAGTACATTCTCAAGGAGATGTACGTGCCTTCCTTGAGTGGCAACTAATTTGGCGGCCAGAAAGACCTTGTGGAGTGAGTTGGATTTGAAACCGATGTCTATTCTAAAGCTCACCACATAAGCCTCGTCTTTGTTCATGGACTGGGGGGGAATCTCAGAACCACTTGGAAGCAAGAGGGAACAACCGAGCCGTGGTTTGCAAAGCCAGAATTCCTTGGCCGTCTTCAAAATTCGGTTCGCGTCCTGTCATTTGGCTACAATGCCCACCGTTTCGGCGATGTCGCCAATACGAGAATAATTCATCACGCCAATGATTTACTCCGAAATCTGGTTCTCAAACGACTCGATCACCCAGTATGCATGATCGGGATGTTCAATGAATTTGTCTAATGTCCTTGTAGGACCGTCCTTTAATATTCATTGCTCACAGTCTTGGTGGGTTAGTGGTCAAAAGAGTGGGTTGAGAATCGTTTTCCATGCATCTTCCAACTGACAAACCTCAAGGCAATACTTCTTTGCGCGACAAACGACGATTGGAAAGCTATTAAGCAAGCCACCAAGTCCATCATCTTCATGGGAACTCCTCATATGGGATCTGAGAAAGCTGAAGACCTCGTCGTTGTGCAGAAATTGGCATCTTTGATGAAACTTCAAACGGCGGTTGCGACAAACCTCACAAAGGAACTCCGTGCTTTCTCCAACTCAGTACAGGATATCAACATGGAATTTACTATTGATGTTCACCGTTCGATCAAGCTCCTATGTTGCTATGAGTCTCATCCGCAGCGGTTACCTAATGGAGCAAAAGAAATTGTAAGTGAACCTTGTGCCTATGTTAATCCCGCTAACTTCGCCAAGATAGTCCCTCAATGGTCTGCTGTCCTTCAAGGCGTCGATAACATAGATCTGAATTGTACGCACTCTGGATTGCCTAAATTCGCTTCCCCTTTTCACCCACGGTTCGAACTGTTCTGGGGCGAAGTTGAAAGGCTAGTTAGACTGGCTGAACCACCTCCAATCAAACCGTTAAAAAAGGCACCCACATGGACAGATGAAGATGTCCCACAGTACGAGATACCCTTGGCATGCCCGGAAACTGCTAACTTCCCTAGGCCATCACCTCGACCACGCCAGAACGCCCCTCCTCGGCGTCGACATGAAGTTGGGAAAGCATCAAAAGTCTCTAGAGAGTCGGCAATTCGCTCAAGTGTCGACAAACTATTGAAAGAAGTTACAAGCCGTATCAATGTCGACTTACCAACACAGCATGAGACTGCCGTATCTCAAGCTCAGAATCGGACACAACCGGAGAAATTTGGTAGGCTGAGGTATTGCTACAGGAGTATATGGCATGCTGACCTGCAAAAGATGTTAAGGAATTTAGTGATTTCACCCGCCTTCTCCGCTCTGTGACACCCGAGAATAAAGGTCTCGATCGCGAGGCTCCTCACTGGCAGACATGCTCATGGATATTGGAAGATCCCACTTTCGTCAAATGGAAGGAAAGCAAGAGTGGCAGTCTCCTATTCATTACAGGGAGCCCTGGATGTGGTAAGTCAAACTTGGCAAAGTACATCCAGGGTGCAATGAAAGCTTCGAACGATG